CCACTTGCGGCCATGTCGCTCTCGCGGGGCCTAGCTTTTCAGCTCTCCTTCAAGATACCTCCTGCGGGCTCCCTAAAACATTTTGAAATTTCCGAGATTTTAGGGTCCTTCGGAAAAGTTAGAGGCTCTGCAATCTCTAAGATTTTTGGTCGCGCACGCCCCCTCCCACCCCCCTCTCTCCGCCTCATTTATCTCTCTATGGTTGTCTGTGCGGCGGCTCGGTCATTGACATAGGTCGCGCTCCCCACTCTATGGGAGCTCTTAAAGTTTCGTAGACAGGCCGACCTAAATTTTCGAATATCTTGGACCTCCCCCAGGTCAGCCTCTGCTGAATATTCTGTGAATCGGAATGACAGTCAACTAGTCAGGGTGCTGATTTGTCAATCTCTCCGTATGAGGTCCGTCGTTCTGATGATTTGTCGGTCTGACAATCTCAGAGGTTGTCGATCTTTCAATTTCTCTGTCAATCTTTCGGTTTGATTGACGGTCTTCATATCTCATTCTGTCGATCTTCTGAAGTTGACTTAGTCGGCTATTGGTAATCTAGGAAATAATTGAATGGTTATTTTTGATCGGTACGTCTCGACCTTTCTACGATGCCGCTTGCCGTTGCCGAAAGCTTTTTACGTCTACTATTATTACCGCTATATGTAATGTTGCTGCTACTATTACCGTTGCTGCCAGGCCTTCTTATCTTTATCGGTATCGCTACCGTCCGCTATCGCTATCTCAACTACTATTTGTTACTAGCATTATTACTATTTTGAAAGGAAATATATTTATTGAATCAAATAACGCGGATAGATTCCGAAATCAATTTTGCGGAGGGATCTTATTTCAAACGATATCCCAGAAATCTCGAGAATTTCGATTCCAAAGAAATTTCGAGATCATTTGAACCGAGAATAATATTTCGTTCATAAATTATTTTTTATAAATATTTGCCATTAATTCTAATTGAAGGCGCCTTCGTCAGGATATTTCTTACAGATCTTTTATTTTGAGTTATTACTTCTCTATCGTATTGTAGAATAAAAGTTATGCAATATACGGATTTCGATTGAATATAGATTATGCCCGCCTACCAATGAAAGAATATTTCGATTAGCCCCAAATTATCACCGTCCTAAGAGACCTTCCCAGCAGGGAATTATTCTTATATTAAAATTATAGTGCGGGTTCTATTATAATCTCGATATACGGGGTTCTATTTTCGGCTTATTTCCCTTTATCAAAATATCCGAGTTTGAACGAAATTGATATATAGATTCTCTTGCATTTTGTATATCTTATCTAGTACGAAGATAATAAATAATCTATACGAAATTCTGAAGATTTTATAAATTTAATCTGAAACCCTAATTTGAAAATCTTAGAGATTTCTAAATTTTAATCGAGCAAAAAATTTAGATTTTGAAGATTTCGTTTTAATTCAATGAAGATAAATGAATACCTAATATCTTTATCATTATATATTGCCGGCTAATCGATTTATCTAATATGAGAGAATATATTTATTATCTCGAATGCGATATAGAGATTCTTCGGCTTGCGTAGAAATATTTTATTCATTAGAATATTATTTTATCAGAACTAAAAATAATATATTATTTATCTATTTAGATTATATTCTATTATCGTTTTATTTCTAAAAATATTCTTCTAATCTTTTCTAATGATGAAATATCGAAATCTCAATAAAATAATTTATGAGAAATAACTATTTGAAAATCATATTCTATTCTGAATAATAACCCATATTACGCGAATCGGAACTTCGGAACGACTATATATCTCAAGACTACGGCGCGAGCATTTACGCTTATTTCGTTCGCTTGCGATCTATATTTTGCGAATCACTTTTGAAATGACTCTCGCAAATTCCCTAGGGACTCTAAAACCTCGGAGATTAGAGCCTTCGGAAAAGATAGAGGCTCTAAAATCTTCGAGATTTTGGAAGTCGGCGGCACGATCAAAAATTTCGGAGATTTTTGGTCGCGCGGTCCTTGCCGGAGCGGCTGCTCGGCGGAGAAGATAGATCCGAGACGAGAAATCGAAATCTTTTTTGAATTTATAGATATATCGTATCTCTGTCTATAGAGATATATGCGCTCCTCCGAACCGCCGCGCAAGATAGCCTAATAAAGATCAATGAGGCGGAAAGATCAGGCTGGATGCGGGGGTCCCGTGCGATCGGAAATCTCTCGAATTTTCGATCAATTTCTTTCTCTTCGATTCCCTGCGCGGCGATTCGATCTAGATCTTGAACGGAGATCTAAAATCTTTCAGTAGATTTATCTTTTTTGATTTCATATGATTCTTATATATTGATTATTCGTCGAGATATATATACGATCTAAGATATTCCGCTTAATTGATTTATCTCTCTTTGATTGCCGGCGCGACTATTAGAAAAAACGTATAGATCCGAGATGGAGAATTCAATTTTTCGTAATTTATAGATTGGCTGGATCCGCTCATGGAGATTTATGCGCTTCCCCGAGTAATCGCCGCATCAGCCGATACTCCAAAATCTTTGAGAATCTATTAGATTGATCGATTTTTTTCATTGAAATTCATATGCATTGCATGAAATTTATCTCTCTTTGAATATCGGCGCGCTCTTGGTCGGAGGAGCGCGTATGTCTGCATGCAGAATCAAATATTTTTGAATTTATAAGTCGATCGTATCTGTCACGGAGATTTATACGCCCCGTCCGAGCCGCCGCGCAGATTGCCCAAGAGAGATAAATCAGGCGGAAAGATCGGATTGGATGCGGGGGCCGGTCGATGCAAAGATCGCGTGACTAAAAAAAATATCCCAAAATTTCGAATTATTCTCTTTCTTAGGTTATCTACGCGGCGATTCGGCGGAATCTGAATGAAGATCTAGAATCTTTCAGAATCTATATAATATATATATTTTTAAAATCTTGATAATTCATCAGGCTTCATATTCGAATTTCTATATTATTTGACCTTCGGAATTTCTATTATAGATTTTCTCAAATAAATATTTTCTCCTATTAGAGATAGGAGATCAATATTACGACGCGGTCATTTACGTTCATTTCGTTCACGTGTGGCCTAGATTTTCCAGTTCTTCTTTAAAAAATCTATTCTAATAATTTTCTAAGGACTCTAAAATCTAGAAGATTCAAATTTTTTTCGGAAAAAAATGAAGATTCTAAGATCTTCGAGATTTTGAATAGAAGCGGTATGATCAAAAATCTCCAAGATTTTTGGTCGTGCAGCTTGCCGCCTCCGGAGGGGTATTCTGCGTGACTTATTGCTCTCAATTTATTTGCGCGATATTTCGGCAGAACGTATAGATCTAAGGCGGAGATAGAGATCCTACGGCCCGATATTTCTCGAATCATTTCTCTTTCTTCGGTTATCTGGGCGGCGGATCGACATAATTCATAGATTCAAAATCTTTAAGAATATAATGAATTAATCGTTCTAAATCATGAATAATCGTATATCTTATATATTCTGAATGATTCATTCGAGAGGTTGTCAAAATTATGATTCCTTTTTGGGTATCCTAAATATTAGAGACCGTATTATAATAAGAATCCAAAAAGAAACCATAATTTTGATAAGTATCTATCTATCTTCAAATATCGGCGCGATTCATCAGAAGAATCTCCATTACACTCCTTCAGAATTCCCATGAAGATGCCAATAAATCCCGCCATGACAAATATAAGTCGCGATCTCGTGCGAGAGTCAGAGAAGAATCTATTCAAAATTATTTATATATCTCTCAAGAATCTCGCTCAAAAATATTCGTTCGGCAGAATTCAAAGATTCGAGGCAGATATCTAAAATCTTTCAGAATCTATATAAAATATGAGAATTTCAAAGATTGAGAAATATATAACGTGCGATCTCATATATTATTTGGTCATCGGATTTCTCGTTATATATTTTCTCAAATAAATATTATTTATTCTTATAAAAAATGGGCAATTCTAATATATATAGTATTTTGAATAGAAAAGAATCTCGAATTTCGCCTCGAGGCCCTCGTTGAAATTAAATATTTGAAGAGAATTCATATTATAGACGAATGATGACGATGGATTTGTTGGATTTTCCGCCAGCCCGGGACCATCACGTTATTGATTGGTCATTATTATGGTAGGCACCGACGTTCAGCCGACATTCGGCAGTGGTCCAAATTTGCCGCAAAATCCATCACTTTGACCATGAAAATCCAATTTGACAAGAAGCTTAGAGGAAAATGGTTAAGACGGGTCTAGGTCGCGCTTAAAGAGCTTTTTCATTGCCATTCATGAACAAGTTGAGGCTTGAAGCCCCTAGGTAGGACGGCCAGCTGCAATGCTGGCGAGTCAGGCCTTGAAACAAAAGAGCTTCGGGCAAATATTTCCCGGAGAATTTACTTCGCTGTCTGAGAGCCCTAGGGTCGGGGATTTATAGTGATCTATCGGCCATGTAGGGTCTGGGCGATCATCTGACTTCCGTGTTGGCTCACTACTACTACTACTACTACTGCTGCTGCTGCTACTACTACTACTACCACTACTACTACTACTACTACTACTACTACTGGCAACCCCAAGGTTCTCAACAATAGCGGAGCAAGGATTGATAGCTACACAACACTGGTTGGTGTTGCCCGGCTCGCAGCGTGGTTACTTCTCGGACGGCGTCTACCAGGTGCTGCAAAGTACTCCCGTGATCGTAAATTTCCTTTGAATTCCCAAACGTACCCATATCAGCTTGTGTGGTCACGTTGCCCATGTCTATTCTCAGCCACTCTCTACCGACCGCAAAAAGTCTACTTGGAAGTGGTTATCAAATGGCTTTCTAGAAGGGGAGGTTATCGCTGGGCTGGGAAGCTGGGCCACACAAAGGCCACCAGATGTCATCCCAGAATTCTGACCGTCGCTAGTGCAACATGGCTTACTGGTCATGCTGTGCCGATGAAACCATACTCTGTAAGCCTCCAGAGATCGTTGCAGTTCAGTGGCCCTGTGTTACGAATGCGCGCGGCGCAGTCGAAGGGCCGTGTCGGCAGGGACTCGTCGACTGGCCGAACCTTTTCAGAACACAGGTGCTCCAACGTGTAAAAACTTACCCAGCATACAGCCCGTCAGTTTCCTACATGAGAGTGCAAGAGAGCCTGGCAAGGAACAGTAAAGAATACGGGCGACTCACCTGCAGGGCTGCAAACAACACCTTCTCAGCCTTGGGCCCTTACGTCACCAGGAGCTGGGGCTCGTATGGGTCAGTTCAAGGTCTTCGATCAGAAGCTCACACATGAAGTAATTTAGGTGGTTGAAGGAGAGGGTCTTAGAGGTGTCTTCAGGCTTTGCTAGGCATTTGGGCATCGCCCATGGAACCTGACTATACAAAACTTCTACAACCGTTCAGAAGCCTCCTGACAACCAAAGAAGCACTGTCTGACAGTGCCTGCCAGGCGTGAGCTCTCCTCAGATTCAATGTCGGAACCGGATGTCAAGGTGCAGAAATATGTAGAAGATGGGGTTTGCGACTCAAGGCCTACCGGCTTTGGGCAAAGGCTTGCAGCTAGAGAGCTTGCTATTGAAAGTTTGGGGCTTCAAGCTTGAGGTGCAGGCGACGTACTTGCTAGCTTTACTTCAGCTTTCTTTTCCGCAGTTGCGGCAACCAAGTAACATTCGCGACATGGGATCAAGGCAATCTTATTCTTGCACCCTCCGTGACCCGGCAGCTAGTACTCTAAATGCATCAAGCTTACGGCTGATGAGATCGGACTGTAAGCCTCATCGCAAACAACATGCTCAACGCTTTCAATATCTGGGGATGTGAGGCTACTCACCTACTTACAGTGTACACACACCAAGGAAGGTTTCCTCGAAAGGTGTCCTTTTGTTTGCAGATTCATGGCCCTTCTATCTTCTATCGCCAGCGACCCCCCAAATAAACTTCTCAGCAGATCATGTTCCTGGTTCCGACCAAGCCCCTCAGAACCATATTTGCATGATGGTACGCAAATTCATGAGCATCTACCATCCTGCCAGGGTAGTCCTTCCTTACATGTACAGCCCGAAACCCATAAAAGGTGAGCCTCAGAGCACGCCGTTTGTTCGAATCTGCCGCAAATTTGTATAGTGTGTCTTGCCAAGTGTCGCGACAGCATTCGCCAGGTGTGAAACTCGAAGCCTGTTCGCACTTCGGACATGTCTTACGCGTTGGGGTGGGGATGTAGACGGAACCTCTGAAAGAAGGATTCAACAAGACTCAGCGTTAATGAGGCTCTACTTACGTTCCGACTCACCACCCACCTCCCGATGCAAGTCCTGCACAAATACAAACGCACATACAGATTTGCTACAGACGCTAGCATTGTAGTAATCGTAGTTGTGCTATCGCCGCTGCCGTCATCGTGGTTGTGGGTGTGGCCACGAATTATCACTATACTGGCAGTGGAGTATAGTAAGACCAGTAGCAATACCGCTAGCAGACGAAAGCGGGAACAGCAGAAGCAACAATGAGGAGATGGCTACTTGAGCTGCTCTGAGCACCCCATCACAGAATGGCACCCGGGATTCAAAGAAGGGCTAAAGCACAAATATGATGAGCATGTGGCGAACTTAAGACCGCCTTGAAAACGCTTGCTGAACCTGCACCGCGCTCAAATGAACAGGTCATGGCACAGGCACAAACATGAAATCATGAATCTCAAGCTTGAACTTCCAAAGCCTTATGCCTGAAGATGAGTAGAACTCCACATCCAAAAGCTCTGACACACCCAATGTGACCGCTGCTATGCCTTGCAATCCATCTCCCAAGTACGCTTTGCCGGCCGTCTTCCAAAATATGTTGAAGAAAGATTCTCTTCACAAGGTACATATCTGCACAGGCACCGACCCTCACAATCCCGAGGTTCCTTCATTGATCGATTTCACAATCATGCTACAAATAGTTCACCATTTCAACCAGAAACTACTGGAGCTCAATTCTTTTGGATCCCTCGCTGACCCTGGGGTAATCCCAATGCTGTGAAGATGCCGCTTCTGATCCCTGTCGCCTGCCAGGATGCCAAGTGTAGCATGTTTACAACAGCTTTGGGCACGGCTTCTTCTTGAGCAAGTTTGAACCTTTTGCAGTGCATCTTGAGGGGCCTGATTCGACTTGAGGAGGAAAAACCCTTGCTACACCCCAAGCCTCTCCGTCAACAATACTTTTGACCTGCAATTCATAGTCAGTGCCTAAGCGCAGTACATAAGACTCATAAGTCTCTTGTTTCGCGTTGCTGATCCCCACCTGTTCCTAGCCAATACTGGCGCAAGTTGTTGGACTTATCCCGTAAAGGAGTAAAGGGGTGCTTGCATTGAAGTTGCGAACATGCTCCAGCAAACCCATGGGCATCCTGTGCTTGTTGGCGCTACTGCTTGTGCTGCTCTGACCTTGATAACAAATATTGAATAATAAAGGCCACCATCGCTACTGATAAAGACTCCTCCTACTACGCCTCCTACTCCAAGTACATACTCCACGGCTACTGCTATCACTGCTTCTGCTTTTGCTGCTGCTATATACAATCCTCTGGAATAGGTGTGCGAATCTGATAAAGACTCCCCAAGCGCCTGCCCTGCCAGGATAATGATGATGATGACGACGCCGACGATGATGTTGATGATGATGATGATGCTGCTAAAGGATGTGCAGACAATCAACAGAATGAGGTCCAATAATTCTACCTGACAGTTCGGCTCTACAATGAACAGACCTTCTTCAAGCACGGTTTCTGCAAAGCTGCCCGCCTCGCAGGACAGTTTCCACCAGCAACACCCCATGCTGGGGCATCGGCTTGGTGTGGGAGATGATTGCCTGGGTCAATATTGGGCTAGTTGCTGACTTCTCTGACTGTGAGGAACCAAGCTCCACAGAAAGTAACTCCCAAGGTCACTGGAGGCAGTCTATGCTGCATAAGAACACTTCACCTCACATATATCTTGTCAAGCGCTGTTGCCTCTAAGTCCGGGATTGCATCAACCTTACGGAGCGTGCCACCTCAGCATGACGAAGCATCCTGATCCTCACTTTTCCAGGGGGACAACCCACGCCTGTCCTGATCTAGAGGTCATGGTTTGAGTGTAGTGTCGCGCAGTAGCAGTACTCACTACACACTCCTTGCCTTCGCCAGCGGCATGATGGATGTGTTGTTGCCAACTTTCAGCTTTTCAGCACCTTCCAGCGTGCAATGCCCGCTATCCGACTAGAATCCAATGATAGACCCCTGGTCCACGTGCCTTGAAACCTCAAGGGTAAGAGATGCCTGGTATGGTTCAAGTGGCTTCATGAGGTTCTTGAGGTTCGTCAGTTTTGTAGGTACACTGAAGGGCGGCTGAGGGTGAAGTCTGAAAATCCCAAGCCCTAAACCAGCATTGCTAAACATTGTCCTTGAGTTAAATCCCTCACCACATTGCAATCGTTCCAAGTGGTGGAATAAGGTTTCTTCTGGACAGGATTCTGTCAGAAGCCCCGCAGAATTTAAAAGAGCAACAAGATCCAGTACGTTTCTGGGCTTATTTAGGGGGGTTATATAGGGGATATACCTATAGTGGATAATAGAATGGAAAAGAAAGTGGAAAATGACATGGAAACAGAGTATATACAGAAGTTGGGGAAGCCAAAGGGATCTGCGAGTGTGTGAGTTGGAGTGGAGCCCATGGGTACAAAACTAAATGACGGAATTCCGTCGAGAGCGTATTCCGATCGTTTCGTCTGTATAGGCCAGGTTTGCGGCAAGAATGCAATGAGGAAATCTTATCACCTCAAAGATCACTGACGCGAGGTATGAAAAAGGTACACAAACTGTGAACATCCTGCGCAACCTCGTTTGCCGAGGGCACGGTGAATACCAGTACAATGCATCCCTTCATGCAGCGCTGGTCAAACAGTCAGGTCAGCAACATGTTTTCATGATTTCAAGCTTCATAAGGGATCCCGGGATCCCCATGGTCGCAAAATGGGAACCTCCAAAGAAACTCACAGCACAAGGAAGACTGTTGGAGGCTCGTTGCGGAGGCTCCAATTAATTCGTTGATTGAGTCTGGAGGGCCTGAGATACTTCTGGCTTCCAGCAAAATTGTCGCCCCCAACACCCTCAGAGCCTAAAACCTTGCACAAAGTGAGCACCATGACACATGACTACCTTATGGCAGACCCCCATCAGGGCCGCGACTCGGTGCCATGAACGAAGCTTGATGGCACATCATGTCACATCCATACCCACCGAAAACCCGAAGCCCAATCTCCCAGTCTTCTCAGTCTTCTTAGCTGGAAGCCCAGCGGCTGTTCCACTGGTCCAGGGCTGAAGAATCCAGCCAGTTGTCGCTTTCGGGCAAGTCAAGCCGATAGTGGTTGTAGCCTCTGGGTTTACAAAGACCAAGGGGCTCCCAGGCCAGATCTACGGATGCTGAAAAAAACACTTTCCAAAGCCAGGGCAGGATGCCAAAATACAACCCACTATTTTTAAGACCTTTCCAACTGAACTCTGAAGACAGTGCAAACAGCGGTCTGGGCGGGGCTTTGGAAGCTTTCGCGTCTGAGCACTGACAAGAACTGATTTATGGCCGGGTTCAGATTTTTGCCCAGGAGTTCACGAGTTGTAAGCAGCCCTGTGTCGATGTTGCAGATGGACGTTAAGCCCCGCATGGGTGCTACTTGCGAACTTCAGACCAAGTCTTGGCCGAAGACTGGGAGACTCAGGGCAATGGGATGCAAAAGGATATGGTATTCTAATTTTCCATTATCCCAATAGCCCCAATGTGGGTCACTGGGTTCTGGGCAATCCAGCTGAGACTTCTAGCATGGACTCGCTTTGGCACCCCTTGCGAGGCCGGGGCCCTGGATCAAAACAGTACAGCAGAGCAGGACCTGCTTTGCAGTCAGAGTTTTTCAAAGGCACGGGATGCATATCTGAACAAATGTGTAGTTTGCTTGTCGTCTTGTGGTCAGATCACCGGAGGCTGCTACTGTGAATTTGTGTCCACATGGAGCCCGGGCCTAGGGTACCCCGGGGCGTTTCTTTCGCGCTTTTCGATTAGTTGGCCTTGGCTGCAATACAACTGTCTCGCCAAGCTGTTGTCAAGCTCTGCGGGTTTCAACGCAGATTGAGCATGCGTGCAAGGCGAAGCCGCCTCAAGTTCTCATTCATTTGCACTTGGCAGCAACGGACGCCGCCGGCCACCTCCAACGCCACCGCCCTGACCAACCGCGACGAGGTGGGTGTGTAGACCTGCTAGCAAAAGGCTCCCACCAAAATCCTACAAGTCTCTACCGGGTTGCATGAAACCCTTGCACCCGCAACATGCCTTGAATGCGAAACTGCTTCCGGTCCCTGGTGGCGGCCTCGACCTAAGGCAGGGCAGGAGGGCCGAACCTGGAGCTCAAGTTGACCAGTTTGAAAATGAGAGCTTCTTAAACTGAGTAGCCAAGCCCTGAACTACCAAGACACCGAGATAGACCCAGCCGTGACGCCACAAGAGATCCCACGCAGAGATGGATTACAAATCCCTTCTGGGAGCATTCACAGGGAGGGTCCGAGGCGTTCTGCAACATAACTTTGATGGATGCCATACAGGAAGCAGAATCAACAGCTCAGGCGGCGGCTGTGGCAGTATCCACCTGCGCACATGTGGAAGGTTCAGGGCCGAGGCTTTGGTGCTTCGAGGCAACACTTCCCAACAGGGACCTCGACCAGCATGGCCTAGGATTAGTGAGTGTTAGTAGGGGCCATTTCGACCTCCCATCTCACCTGTGCAGTCCCTCTGCAGTCATTGATATTAGGAGGTCATGTAGACTGTTGCATCTTGGACTTGCTTGGCAGGTCCTGAAGGGTCGGAGTGGCCAGACCGCAGATTTCTGCAGGCTTAGGGTTCAGGGTAGGTGGCCGCAGATCTAATCATGATGAGCGCAGCGCCTGCCACTCCACAGCATTCGGCGTACGACGGCAGAGCCAAGCTCCCACTAGTAGGAATCCCCTTATCCAGGTGACTCTGGGCTCGAATTGGCCATGTCTCAAGAGTAGGGGATTGACTCATTTGATAGCCGCACCGCCCCCAAACGTTAAGACTTCCCCCCGAATTTTCAAGAATCTTGCCGGCCTTATTCAACCGCACCAAAGGTACAGCGCGTCGAGACCCCTTGTCGATGCTGTGCAGGGATGTGGGGCTTGGGGCGGTTTAGGAATTGTATAGCTTCAGGACATTTGGTCTTCAGGGCTTGCGGCTGCTTGTGGCCGACGTGCTGTGCGGAATTCAAGGTTCTGTGGGCTCAGAAACAGTTTCACTACTTCCCAAAGTACTGAAGCAGCTTTTCACCCTTGTGGGAGATCATCACGTGCCAGATTGCTTGGACCTTATACTATAATAGACTATAACATACCATAATGTATGATAATATACCATAATCTGTTATAATATACTATAGATCTGGCCGCCTTGGGGAAGAAAGCCAAGGGTTTGGCCCATGTAGCCTTTAACAGCATCCGGGAACGAAGGCGTCTCAAAACCACATTACCCTTAAGAATTCTGGTTCTTGCGACCCATGAGGAGCAGAAGGTGATTACTCCATGTTGAGAAGTCTTAAAACTTCCGGAAAGCTCCAGCAGCCGATGACCTGAAGCTTCAAAGCCTCGATCCTTCTAGCTGGATAAGTTATGATAAGTTGACATGAGAATAGATTCCACGTTCAGGAACCCCTGCATGCTTCAAAGCTGACTATACACAAAAAGAGCTGCATAGGTTGAAAGGCAGCAGTCACGGGCAAGTCCCTGCCTACAGAACTGCCCCGTGCTCCTGGCTTCATTCCTCATGCGGCTCACATCTCTTAAGGTGTTGTCGTGTCCTTCAACAGGTGTCCAGGCTCTCTACACTTTCCAGGGCTCCCAAATCTTGTGTACTATGGCAGTAAGTCGCGTAAGCATCCCTCCTGCCTTTCCACGCAAGGTCGCCAGCAGCTCCATCGCTAAAAATGTGCCCTGGCACAAAGCCGGCTATGGCGCGAAATGTCGCCCTACAGTACCTACTGCCGACATCGCACGGTGCTGTTTTCAAATCGTGTTGCTGAAAGGATTTGTGTTACTGTTACTAGCTACGCGTTGCTTGCTACGCTGCTGACACCATTCCCTCTGTGATTTCTGTTCTTGCCACTCATCACACGTGCCTTCTGCCCGACAGCCAAGATCTCGGCGGAAACCGAATGGCCCGATGTGATTGACTCCAGCCGCGCCATAGCCTCTGCAGCGAAGAGAATTCCAACTAGATAACCCAATATAAGGTACGTATACAGATTCTATCTATAAACTCACGCATATATATCACCTCAAATCCCCTTTAAAGGTACCAACGTTAGGACCTATCCAGACCATTCATCGTAGACTCCCTAGGTTAGTGTCAGTCAAGACACAAGAAAGGGCAGTTGGGGTGCTCTGACATGCTTAGATACAGCTTTGGCCAGCTAGACGCCTACACACCGACTAAAAACCCAGCCCAAAAGAGACTTCAGAGGGTCGAAACAGGTTTTCTGGATGCTTCACGTCAGGCCTGTGTATCGATCTGCTCCACTGAGGGGATGATTAAACTCAACATGGCCCACATGTGAGTTCTGAGTGGAATTCTGGTACTTGCAGTGCTACAATGCACTGGATGTAGAAACGTGAGACGTCCACTATGCAATTTGCCACATATGCCCCCATACCAGGATTCGGACTAAGAAACCACTTCGGATGGGTTCAGCCCAGTCAATGCTGTTATAAGTGAAGCCACGCTTTACTGACGTGTCAACAGGGGGTGGTAAATCTCAGGCACACAGTCAAAGTCCTATTTCAAGCACCAGGCGCAATCCTGCATTTTAGACCCTCCATCTACCCTCCATATACCCTGAATTAGGGACCAAATGCCCCTATTTCAGGTACAAAGAGGGTCCTGGATATCAGTTCAATCACTGCTCGGTCGCTGAGCGAAGCTGAGTTGAGCCTGGTTATTACAGCCCTTAGCCTTGGCTGCTTTGAACGACGTGGAGTACCCTGAGACTTCCTTGTGTGGATGCAAGGGCCTTGGATGCAGGGTTACCGTGTTTAGTCAGGCATTGAGAAGTTCAAGGCAAAGGATTTTGGGGTTGCAGGGCTTGAGGTTTGCGATTGACTGGAAGCCTTGCCTTGCCTCTTGTACGCTCTCCCCGCCATCCAGGATAAGCGGTGCAGCACGACGCACTGAGGTGAACATGAGTGCGTCAGATGTGCAACCAGTTCTTTCGGAAACCAGATTTAGATGGTGACTGGACATATGGGAGTTGCAGCTGAAATCATTCTCTACACTTGGAAACGAACACCCGGGAAAGTGATGACGACGACGACGACTACTACTACGATTAACGTTCTGAAGCTCATGCATGGGCTTTGACAGGGCTGGTTGCCTGCCCCCGACATAAAGCCTCACCCCAGAACCTATTGTAGTCAATGACATAGTAGAGTATGTTGGATTGTCAATGGTTACATACATGCCAGGCCGTTCAGTGAGACGTAGCTCTGTAGCAGTGCTTGAACAAGTGTCCGCAAGGCAAGTGCAAAGGCGTAGCGTGGCTCGAACAAGACTAGGCTCTCCATCTGGCATTGTAGTTAGTTCCGGACTTTTTGAAGTAGGAGTTCGCTAAGGCATAAGTAAAACTTCAGGCTTTGGGGCTTGATATGGGTTATGTTGAGAAGCAATCCCATGCTGCTTCAGCTGTCTGCACGTCTGCACCATGTTCCAGCGGCTGCAGAAGAAATCATGCATCCGATGCAAGCACTGATGAAAATGCGAGACGTGTTCACGAGCAGATTCATGTGCTAGTAGGCAACAGGCTGAGCCACGTGGTAGTAAGCAAGAGGCTGAGCCTCACAAAAAAAAGCTGGGGTCAACAGAACTGGACAGAATCCAATGTGCTTCAGGAGAATCCCAATTCCGGTTTGAAGGGTAGGCCTGAGAAAATCAAAGTCGGGTCCTGCATAAGAGCCGCTGTTTAGGCTGGAGACTTCGTGGGCGCCTCTTTACTGTGGATGCCACGAAGCCCTGCTTCCTAGATTCGAAATTTGTTTGACGACTTATGAGGATGTCTACACAGAGTCAGAAACCTAATTTTTCGTCAGCCTCGGTAGACCCTGCTGATGCAGGCTTTCAAAACAAGTTCTCCCGCTCACACCCACCCACCACAGTATATCCCGAAGTATACGAACTTGCCTATGGCTTTGGGGATACAGGTTCTGCAGCATTTCGGATTCTGGAATTCAAGATACTTTGATCATTGACACCATGATGCCCCCCATGATAACCTCCGCAGGCTGCCCAAGATATGGAACAGGAAGAAACATGCCTGTTCGGGAATCCC